GCGGGGCCCGCTCCCCGCGCCGGGCCGCCGCCCGCCGCCCCTCCTCGGCCGCCGCCATGCGGGGCTGCGTCGCCGCCGCCGCGCCGCTTGCACCTTGATCGGCCCCGCCGGGCTCTGCGGAAGGCGGGCCCAGGCGGGCGGCGTCCAGCTTCCGTGAGCCTCTGGCACCGCCCGGCTTCGCCGGCCTCGGCTTCCCTGCACCCGCTCGCAGCAGCGGGGCCCGGCTCCCGCTCCAGCCTGGCCTCCGCGTCCCACGGACGCACCTGCCGGCCGGCTGGGCAGAAAGGCGGCCTCGCTTGCCTGCAGCCCCGGCCGCCGCACACTCGACGGGCGCGACTGGGGCGGCCGTCGGACGTCCGGGCAAGAGGCTATCAGGCGCCGCTCCTGCAGACCGCGCCTGGATCCCCCGAGCCTCCCAGCAGCCTTCGAGTCCCGAGGTAGCCGGGGCCGCAGCTGCGCCTCCCTCTGCAACCGCTCCCTTGCCGCGGACCGCAGGGACCCTTCCTGCTTAGCCTCACTGGGTGCGCTGCGAATGCAGCTTCTCCCGCAGCCGTGCACGAACGGGCTGCCTCCGGGGGAAGGGGACCAAAGTACTTTGAAATCGGAGAGACCTGGAGAGGAACACCCACAAAGGGTCAGAACAGGAAAGCAACACCCAGTGTCCCTCATACCAGGGCCATCTTAACAGCATTATGGGCCCCAGGCAAAGCAGTGTACTGGTGCCCTACGACAACTACAACTACTGTTAATTTTGGAAGTTTTCCAATTTTCCAAGGGTTAACATACATGGATTAGTATGGGGCCCACGGGCAAGTGCCCATCAGGCCCATGCGGTAAGATGGCCCTGCCTCATACCCCACTCTCCTCTGAAACGGTTCTTCTAGTTCTTTGAGGAGTGGGGGACTGATAGGGAGGAGAGAGTTCAGCTAAGTGCACCGTCATCGTTGGAGGACAGGAGCAAGCCGAGGAAACAGGTGCACGGTGCACCCAAGGCTGAAGCTCCTTGCAGGGCGGGCTGAATGCTCCTCTGCCCTGCAAAGCTGCTGGAGGTCGGACAGCCGACCTGAAAGCTTCCTGTTCAGCAGGCAAGGAGCTGAGCTGCAGTCCAGCCAGTTCTTAAAGCTGCGGGAAGGGAAAAGCCAGCCCAGGGGCAGGCTAAGGAGCAACTGGGTGCTAGCAAGCCACCCACCCACCTCTTCACTCATTTCACAGCATAGGAAGGGTGGATCCCCAAAACAACCCCATCCCCCCTGAGTGCCACCTCTGGATGCTGCTGCTGGGAGAAAGGGAGTAAAGAGGAAGCTGCTTCTGTTTTCTCTTGTTCACTCTAGGTAGCAAGACAAGAAGAGCTGGGCCCACTGGGCTGGCTCTATGTGCTCATTTTAAGTTCCCCAGAACAAGCAATCAAGCTATATTTTCCCTCAGATCCAGCTGTGCATCTGTTGATAGTCGCACAGAAAACCAGAAGTAGGTTCCTGCAGCACTGGCAGCCCCAGGGTGCTCTTGCTGGCCACGCTGAGGGCGTGCCAAAGCCACTGGCAGCCGTAGTGGCTCCTGTTCTCAGGAGCAGAGCTCTTGGAAGGCACCCTTGCTGCAGTCTCAGGTAAGCAAGAGCCTGTGGGAAGTGCTGCACTTTTCTTTACTGCATGAAAGGATGGATGCCAGAACTTATCCGGTCCCTGTAGGGGCTTTGGCTGCCACTCTGAAATTTCCTGACACATATATTTTATATTTTCGATTTTATATCCTGCCTTTTTCCTACAAAGGACTCAAGGCAGCTCACATCATTCTCCTCCTCCATCTTATCCCCACATCAGCAACCTTGTGAGGTAGGTTGGGCTGAGAGTCTGTGACTGGCCCAAAGTCACCCAGTTGACTCCATGGCCGAGCGGGGACTAGAACCCAGATCTCCCGAGTCCCAGTCCCATGCTCTTAACCACTACGCCACACTGGCCCTCCCACATCCACTTGGGAGGACAAGGCAGGCCCAGGCCCAGGCCATGCTCCATGATGGTACTACTATTACTGAGCTGCTTAGGACAAAAAACTCTTCATCACAGCCGGATGGAAGAGGGAGTGAGAGGAAGCCTCAGCCGTCCTCCAGAGAGAGCGTCTGTTGCAACAAAACCAACAAAGGGGTTTGTGCCGCCTCAAAGACTAAAATGTAACTTTAAGCAGAAGCATTTGCAGTCTTAGACCATTTCATCAGATGCACAAAGAGTTAACCTCAGATTAGCAGGTCTATGTACACATTCTGGAGCAGATTTCCTGGAACTGGGTTTTGGAACATGCCCTTTGCTTTCCTCTGGAACATTTAAAGGCAATGAGATACCGGTAAACTTGCCAAATGATGCTCCTTTCTCATCAACATCTCTTCCTGAGTCAGATTGCAAAACTGACCTTCTTTGTGCATGAGCAGGATCAGGGGCTAGGTGCAGTGTGACATGGGGACTGACGGGGGCCATCCTCCCTTCCAAGAGACATCACCCTCCAGCAGGCCTGTTCCTGGAAACAGGTGTCCCAAACAAGGCCTCTCTCCTTGGGCCATAACTGGTTTGGACCTGGTTTAGACCTCACTTGGCAAGTAAATGTGTCTTGGCATGGTCCTTCTGAGCTGGCTTTCTGCCGCTCTGAGCCATTGAATTCTCTGCCGGATTCAGCCTGAATAGCCTGTGGTTCCTTGGAGGAACGAGCAAGCAGTTAAGGACAAGCCCCGTGCTTCTGGCCGGAGGAGAGAGCAGCTGCAGAAAGCTCTGCATATGAGTGTTTGTTCAAGTACAACTTGTAATTTTGTTTGGAAGCAGGGTCTGTTTGACTTGGTGGGGTGCAGTCCAGTAACAGCTGGTCAAGGTCTTGGCCGTATCTCCATCTCCTGCATGTCACAGAGAGGGTGGCTCTTTTCAACATGGTGTATTTCCCCCTTTCTCATAACACACTCCCATCTCTCAGTCCAGCTTGCAGCCTGGGAAAAGGTGCCCTGACTCTTTGTCAAGCCTCTCGCAGGGGGTATGGGTGAGGGTTAGGACAAAGGCATGCGCCTCTTTTTTATGTCCCGTACCACTGGGCTGGGGCAGGAAAATGTTGGGAGCACATGCCCCTGCTGTGATTGTCCAGGGAACTGTAAGAGGGAACAAAGAGGACAGGAGCAGAAAAGCACAAGAGATTTTTTCATAATCCTCTGAATCTGAAAGACAAGAGCACCTATTTATTGTGGTGGTGTGCGGGTTAAAAGGCCTTGGATGTGCAGGGATATAATTATACTACTGATTCTAATTAACAAAATATGTAGGTTCCTTCCATGGAGTTGCATAGTTTTGGTAGAACTGCCAGGTGTTTAAAGCTGCCTGACTTTAGCGTAAGATTAGACCAACTTCTGAGATAGTTTTATTTTGAAGGCTTGAAACATACCCTTAGTTCAAGTTTGATGTAATTGCCCTTCAACTCCATGCTTTTAGAAACCTCATAATTAGGGTATTTTTGCCCCAGAATTGACTGTGTGGTGGGCAGAATTAATAAAACATCATTAGCAATCAGTTTCACCACCACCATTCATTTCTATACTGCCTCATAGACAGTATGGTTATCTGGGCAATTGACAACATAATGCTTCTTCTCATCAACTGTGACCCCTTTAGCTTCCTTTTTTTTTCTCTTTCTAGCCTTTCAGTCAAAGGGCCCCTAAGTAGCTTACACAGATGAGAAATAAAGTAGTTTGCAATCTAAAGAGATGAAAAATAAAGTTTACAATCTAAAAGACCCAACTCAAAAAGAAAGAGAATTGGAAGAGAGGTGGGCACAATGCAAAGTTGGGTACTAGATTTTTAGTTGCAAAGTTCAGCAGGTTTTGGTGCTGGATCTGAACAAATGAAAGGGCTTCTGCTTCCTCTTTCCCTGACCTTCTCAGCAGTGGCAGTTGACAGCAAGAGAGCAGGGGGCCTTTGGGTGTTCTAATATGGAAGAACCCAAATGTTTCCTTTGCTCTTAGAAACAAAAGGAATTAAAAAAAACACAGCTGAAAATCCCTACAAAACAATCCTTTGACCATTTGCAGAATATATTTCAACATTTCTGAAGACCGGCAAATAAGGTATCTTGAACTGTAGAGCAACATTAACACCTTCAAATCTCATTAACTTTTCTTAGCCTGGTTAACTGATTGTCTATTTGCTTTATACTATTCTCTACAGTGTTAGAAGAATCCATCTTTGGATTCTTGGAAGTGCATTAGGCAAAGAGCTTCTGAACCACATCCCCATTGGTGACTGGACTCTTCTCACAGCCACTTTTTCCTGAGCATCCAAGCACAATTGCCAAGGGATGGTCTTCCCCATTGTTCCTGCCACCATGCACTGATAGCTGGCAGAGGACCTGCCCTGTGCTTGGCATGCAGACGCTGCATATGGACAAGGACTACTTGGTAGGA